CATATAGTTACAGTTGCACACAGTAATGTCAAAATATAAATTATTCTCATTAAAGCTGCAATATGTAACTTTTTGGGGCGACCTGACCAAATTCACATAGAAATGTTTGTTATAGATCTGTCATTCTCATTGAAAGCAAGTCTAAGAAGCGGTAGATCTGTTCTATGTGCGCTCTTTCAATGCTTCTTTCGTTTTTGCTTATTTTACGTTCTGTTTTGTACACCAGCTTCAAACAGCTGAAAATACAATATTTTTGGTTATGGAAAATATATTTCACAGCGATTTAAATGGTACAATGATTCTCTACACAATAACTGCTTGTTTTGTCACATAAATTAAAATTAAGCAAACTATTAGAATTTTAGTAACCAGGAAATGGCGGAGTGATTTCTGCATACTGCATCTAATACTTTTCAAATGGCTTTATGGTCACCACCACACCACAGTGTACAAAGTTTGCATACAGTGTGGGAAAAAAGTATTTGATCCCCTGCTGATTTTATACGTTTGCCCACTGACAAAGAAATGATCAGTCTATAATTTTAATGGTAGGTTTATTTGAACAGTGAGAGACAGAATAACAACAAAAAAATCCAGAAAAACGCATGTCAAAAATGTTATAAATTGATTTGCATTTTAATGAGGGAAATAAGTATTTGACCCCCTCTCAATCAGAAAGATTGCTGGCTCCCAGGGGTCTTTTATACAGGTAACGAGCTGAGATTAGGAGCACACTCTTAAAGGGAGTGCTCCTAATCTCAGCTTGTTACCTGTATAAAAGACACCTGTCCACAGAAGCAATCAATCAATCAGATTCCAAACTCTCCACCATGGCCAATACCAAAGAGCTCTCCAAGGATGTCAGAGACAAGATTGTAGACCTACACAAGGCTGGAATGGGCTACAAGACCATCGCCAAGCAGCTTGGCAAGAAGGTGACAACAGTTGGTGCGATTATTCGCAAATGGAAGAAACACAAAATAACTGTCAATCTCCCTCGGCCTGGGGCTCCATGCAAGATCTCACCTCGTGGAGTTGCAATGATCATGAGAACGGTGAGGAATCAGCCCAGAACTACACGGGAGGATCTTGTCAATGATCTCAAGGCAGCTGGGACCATAGTCACCAAGAAAACAATTGGTAACACACTACGCCATGAAGGACTGAAATCCTGCAGTGCCCGCAAGGTCCCCCTGCTCAAGAAAGCACATATACAGGCCTGTCTGAAGTTTGCCAATGAACATCTGAATGATTCAGAGGAGAACTGGGTGAAAGTGTTGTGGTCAGATGAGACCAATATCGAGCTCTTTGGCATCAACTCAACTCGCCGTGTTTGGAGGAGAAGGAATGCTGCCTATGACCCCAAGAACACCATCCCCACCGTCAAACATGGAGGTGGAAACATGCTTTGGGGGTGTTTTTCTGCTAAGGGGAAAGGACAACTTCACAGCATCAAAGGGACGATGTACAGGGCCATGTCCCGTGAAATCTTGGGTGAGAACCTCCTTCCCTCAGCCAGGGCATTGAAAATGGGTCGTGGATGGGTATTCCAGCATGAAAATGACCCAAAACACACGGCCAAGGCAACAAAGGAGTGGCTCAAGAAGAAGCACATTAAGGTCCTGGAGTGGTCTAGCCAGTCTCCAGACCTTAATCCCATAGAAACTCTGTGGAGGGAGCTGAAGGTTAGAGTTGCCAAACGTCAGCCTCGAAACCTTAATGACTTGGAGAAGATCTGCAAAGAGGAGTGGGACAAAATCCCTCCTGAGATGTGTGTAAACCTGGTGGCCAACTACAAGAAACGTCTGACCTCTGTGATTGCCAACAAGGGTTTTGCCACCAAGTACTAAGTCATGTTTTGCAGAGGGGTCAAATACTTATTTCCCTCATTAAAATGCAAATCAATTTATAACATTTTTGACATGCGTTTTTCTGGATTTTTTTGTTGTTATTCTGTCTGTCACTGTTCAAATAAACCTACCATTAAAATTATAGACTGATCATGTCTTTGTCAGTGGGCAAACGTACAAAATCAGCATGGGATCAAATACTTAATTTCCTCACATATATATTTTTTAAACTATCTATGATTTTGTAACATTATTGTCATGTTTTTTCATTGCACAAACATGGCCCAATGTAGGCAACAAAGGAGCACAGCTGTTGGAGCATGTTAGGTTTGTAGCAGGCAGTCAAAAGCTAAGCTATGTAATCATGGCATTGGGTTGTTCAATGACAGCCATGTATTTGTTTAAAATCTATCACTTGATGGTTTCCATTTCAGAGAGACAAATAATCATGTTTTTTTTTTTTTTACAAAATGCTATATATCTGCCTCACTCTCAGAGAAGTAGTACTGCTAGATTTTGGGTTTTACACAGTCAAATGTAACAAATAACTACATTTTTTATAAAGAACTGTACAAATGATACATGTGACCACAATATTTACAAAAATGTTTAACAAATATAATTAAATACAGTAATATGATATCTGTATGTAAAACATTTACATTTGACATTTTAGTCATTTAGCAGATCATTTTATACAGGATACGAACATTCCATTCCAGCTAAATATTCCATTCCGGTATTTACATCAAATACAGGTATATTGAGGTATTTTGTAATTTCGACACAAAATACATTTGCAACTACACGCCTTCACTATAACAACATTCTCAGTAACAAAAAATGTTTTACTTGCTATGACTGTGATATGTAGTTGTTTATCTACCTTAGTTAAATGTGCTGACTGTAAGTCACTCTGGATAAGAGTGTCTGCTAAATGACCAAAATGTAAATGTAAAAAGAAAAATTGGCAAAGCACACTTGTTATTATTATTGGCCTTGTTTCAGGGGCTCATTAGAATAGTGTGAAGGATTACAGGAGTAATAAAGGCCTAGTTCACTAATCTTGTTGTGGAATTATGTAAAATTTGTACATTTTTTATGGGGTGCTGCATCACCCTCAGCACCCCTACTTCCCGCGGCTATGTTTGCAGAATATATCAATATATTTGCCTGTACCCTCCAAAAATGAAATGCTGATTAGCTGCTAATGTGGCTATCATAAAGAACTACAAATGCCATGATGATCTAAGAGGCAAAGGTAAGAATAAGCGGAAGCTGCTGAGGGGCTCATAATAATGGACGGAACGGAGCAAATGGAATGGCATCAAACACCTGGAAACCATGTGTTTGATGTTAATTAGCATTTTTTTTGAATCTGAGAGTAAATAGAGGCGAATATATTAATAAAAGTCACATTGTCTGAGAGAGATTTACATGGTTATCAAAACGTCACGCCAGGGTAAGCCTACACAAAACACAGCCCTTATTTTAAGTGTTTCTACAATCCCCTATGGGAAAAATGATTGTTGGAAAAACGATTGGAACCATTTTCATGTTTGACCGCTAGGTTTTATGGGTATTATGACACCTTCACTGTGGGGCTCTATCGCGTTGTTTGCTCTATAACCCCTTAGTTTATATGCCTTGACACTGTAATATATAGGCCTAAAGCCGAGACAGTAAGAAGGCACAGCGGCAGAATAAATTCAACCACACCATTGTTTCATCACAAAACATTTACATTACCTACATCATGGTCAATCAAGTTAATGTTTCCGAGATTTTCGGACTACTAAACAACTATTGATTTAGAACACTGGAGAGTTACTGCAAGTAGCAAAGAAAACTAAAAGATTCCAAAAACTATTTAGTCCAATCAACATCAGCGAAATATCATATGGCTATCCATGTTACTGAATTATGTGTGTGTGTGTGCCTAAGTAGAAAACATGTTGACTCACCCTCCTTGAAGAGAAACTCCAATGCCACCTTCTCTTTCATGTTGCTGAAACCGTCTATGACTCTGTCATACAGTACACGCTTTTAGTTTTTGTTGTCCTAGGCTACCTGTCTTAAAATGCTTGTTCCCTAGCCTAACTTCCTTTCATGGACAACGTTTAGCCAGATAGTTAACATTAGCTAGCCTACTACATCTAGCTACATATTGAACTTCTATCCTCTCAGCCAGAGGCACACTGTATGAATTTATGATTGGATCAGAATCGCCTTTATGGAGAATTAAGTAAAACCACAAGTCCAATCGCTATCTCCGACCATGGCTAATTTAGGAAACGGCCAATTTTAGCTAGCCAGCCACCTGAGGACAACAACACAACAAGACGCAACAATTCAAGTTTTTTCCAAAGTCAATGAAGTATGGCTTAATGTGATGTGATTGGTGTGAAGGCAAATCCAAACTGTCTTCCCTTGACACCTTGTTTTGGTGCTCCAGGAACATTACCAATTGAGTTCGCTCAGTTTAGTTAAATGCTGATTGGCTATTATTGTAAAAAAAAAAAAAATAAAAAAAGAATATCAAGGGAAGCTAATGGTCGCTGGCTTCCCTTGCATTCAATGCTACGGGCGGCAACAAGATCATACTCTTTTTGACCCGACGGCTGGCGCTGGCTTGCTGCTGCAACAACATAGGATCAGATAGATGTACATACAGAGACAGAAGTGCGCTGTTTCGCTCGCCGGTGAGATACATTCAGCGTCTTGCAAATTGAATGACAATTATGAAACACAAAGAGACGAAAGATAAATCATTATTTATTTGTAAATCTTTTTTTCCTTGGTCATTTTTTTGGAGAAGACTGGCTTCCGTTGGCATCCATAAATACACGCCACTGAGCATCAGCACCATCCTCATGATTTTGTAACTACATTCCAAACCCGTGCATTTTAGTGCTGCTCCAACATGATGCGCCCTTTAAAAAGTTATTGGCCATTGGGTTGCCGTAGCCACACCTTTCACTTCTCTGATTTGTTTAGTGGACAGACTTTCATCCGTCAATCACACGTTAAATCGTTGAAATGTGGCGTATGATTGGTTTAGGGATTTTACGCCCGCCTTCTCCTATTTCGTGGGGCGCAGTTGGACCACAGGCAGGTCTGTCAATTTAGTCAAATCTCTATTTCCGGGTCTGAAAGGTGTTGCAAAACAGCTTCCATTCACTTCACGGGCAAGAGGACAGACGTCAGCTATTCCAAATTCTATAGAAAGCATCCCTTCATCCATAGTAAGTGACTTTGACAATTCCTCGGTATATTTTAAACAAGCTAGCTAAAGTTAACTAAGTGATTCATAAGCTCTGATGTTGGGGTGTGAAGCCTAGCTAGCTAACTTAGTAGCTAGTGTGAACAACAGGTTTAGGTTAAATCTATGCATTCAACGATACCCAAATTTAAAATGTAATTTTGCCTCTTGTATTCGATTGTGTTGTAACTGCACCACCATCTTCACTTGGTAATCAAACGGCAACGTCTTTGGGAAAGGATTTAAGTTCCTTAGCTAGCTAATGCCTTACTCGTGAGGAGTGCAGGTCGCAGTCACACGTGTGTAATACATGTCATGCACACTGAATCATTTAAAATGATAAGCTAAGCTTAGACTAAATGTATAGGTAGCTAGATTGTTTAAAGTGTGTGTGTGTGTGTCTTTGCAGAGATGCTAGCTGAGGTGTTTCAGGTGCTGCGAGGAGCAGGGAAGGTTGGCCAAGCGTTTGCCAACACCCAGGGGGAGATGCTGAGGCTAATGGCCTGTAACTCCACGCTGGGCACTGGGGTCAAAGCTGCCCAGGAGGTGGTCGAGGGCGCCATGGGCACAGTCATGGGTGGTGCTGCCATGGTATGTTCAAACAGGGGAGAGAAGGGAGCCTTTCTGAACACATCAAATAGATAGATGTACTTTGGAGACACGATCACAGTTCAATGCCCTTTTCAGCTTTTAGGCTACATAAAATGTTATAGTACTCTGCCAAATACAATTACATGCACCATGGTGTCTATTGTCTGCAGTGACATTGAATGAGGCACTGAATGTGACTTTTTCCATATTCAGCAACAGTCTATCAAGGAGGATGTGTTCCCTGATGCTGAGGGATGGGAGGAAATGGACCCGGACGAGGCTGCTAAATGGGCGGTGGGTTCCGAATTCCCCCCAGGCCCAGGGGACACAGAGATGCCCAGCGGAGTGCCTCTCAGCCCAGCCAGGGGTCCAGGGAGAGGAGGCTGGCCCGGCCAAAGTGCCCGGTTCCTGCACATCGCTTCGACGCAACGCCACACCAGGTTTGTCCATGACTCGGTAGTGGCCAGACTCACCCCAGAGGACATCAAGAAGGCCAGGGAGTCCAAGCAGGCACTCTCCAGGCCTATTCTTAAGCAGAAGGTCAGTGACGTAGGCTTACCTCCTGATTGTCTGGGCTGTTCCACTGACTGGGTTTTGGGCGGGCATTGTAGTTGTAAATCATGATGGGGACTTAGGGGGTTAAGTTAAGTTGGTCTGCTATATTAGGAAATTATTTCCCCATTTCTGAAGAGGTATGGAATGGCTGTCTTTATACATAGGCCTACTGTATTGTGCTTCTAATTAATATTGTAAATCTAAACATATCCTCAGGGATGAACCAATTATATATAGGCCTACCCATGTGGTACTGTATTGTTCCAGGCATGTGCTGTAGCTGAAACATGGTGGCTTGTAGTCTCTCAGGCCCTTGTTATGTTATGTAACATGTCTTGGTGAACGTGTGTTCGCCTTCTGTCATCCACTGCTCCCACGCAGCTCGCATTCTAGCTTTGAACGCCCTGTTGACACCAATATCTAGCGGCTGGAGTTCTTTAGTTAATCCACCCGGAATGACGGCAAGCTCCGAATTAGTTTGCTTCACTTGTTTTTTGACAGCATCGGTGATATGGGCGCGCATTGAGTCGTAGATCAATAGGGACGGAGCTGTGTGGAAAAAGCCACCCGGTCTCTTGACGTAAATTTCTCTCAGCCACTCACTCATCTTTTCCTCATCCATCCATCCCTTCGGGCTAGCTTTGATGACGACGCCGGCTGGAAAGTTCTCTTTTGGCAAGGTCTTCCTCTTGAAAATAATAATGGGAGGAAGTTTCTGGCCATTAGCCTGGCAGGCGAGAACTACAGTGAAGGATGACTTCTCATTCCCTGTGGTACGTACAGACACCGTACTGGTCCCCGTTTTCTCCACAGTGCGGTTCACGGGAATATCAAAGGTGAGTGGAACCTCGTCCATGTTGGTGATGTGCTCTGGCCGGATATTATTTTCAGTGATCTTTCTTTTTGCAGTATGCGCGTAAAGTGACCAGCTTTTCTTGGTAATCTTTTGGCAGTTGCTGCGAGACGGTAGTTCGTGTGCGGATGGAGAGATTACGTCTTTTCATAAAACGAAAGCACCAAGAAGGACCGTCTCGAAATTCATCGATTGTCATGTCCCGTGCTAGCGCTGTTGCCTTCATTCGAATAGTGACTGTAGAGACGCTTCTACTTGCTGCTCTCTGTTCAACAACCCACTGTTCGAGTTTGTCCTCTAACTGTGGCCATCTCGCTTTGTTCCCGCGGAAACTCTGTTTAGTCTTCTTTACTTGGCGCAGGTCATCTTCTTGCTTCCTCCACTTCCGTACCATTGATTCATTAATGTTGAATTCTCTCGCTGCTGCTCTATTCCCATATTCTACTGCATGACCGACAGCCTTGAGCTTGAACTCTGCGTCGTAAGCGTGTCTCTTGAAAGGTGCCATTTTGGGGTCTTTATACACACACAAGTGGTGTGGGACTGTGAGTAAGCACAATACCGGTGTGTACTGGCTACCGTAATGCTGCAAGTGGTGCGGCTTTGTAGTTTACCAGTCGTACTGAAACATTTCATTATTATTAAATTGTTTTTATTGGTTTTTCATACTGAAACATTTTGACAGAGCACCTTGAGCGCCGTGTACAACCAGTATGGATCAACCAATTAACCAATTGATCCATATATAAGGCGCTCCGGATTATAAGGCGCACTGTCTTTTTTTGAGAAAATTAAAGGCTTTTAAGTGCGCCTTATAGTGCGGAAAATACGGTATGTTTGGTGTTAGATATTGTTTTAATGGAAGTCTCATTTTTACAGCTTAGTGATCGTGCAAGAGAGAGGAAGGTCCCTGCCACGAGAATCAGCAGGCTGGTCAACTTCGGGGGTAAGAGAGTTTCACTGCAATGAATGGAAATCACCCCCAGATATTGAAGTTTTATTAGGTACACCTATAGGATTATATTGATAGAATGCCATACAACAGATCAAATCAAATGTTATTTGTTACATGCGCCGAATACAACAGGTGTAGACCTTACAGTGAAATGCTTACTTACAAGCCCTTAACCAACAATGCAGTTTTAAGAAAAATACATTTTAAAGTAAAAAATAGATAAGTAAAAAGTACAAATAACAAATAATTAAAGAGCAGCAGTAAAATAACATTAACAATGCCTAAGGAAACATGACCCAGCCAGCATGCAGCTATATTACAATTAATCAATATTTCTAGTACATTCTTAAATCAACTATTATAGTCATTACATCATTGCACAGCCCAGTCCCTATGACCTTGAGTCAAGTATACCTCTAAATGATCACTTACACCAAGCTCTCTGTGACTCATCTTAAATGGTACATGTTAGTGTGTATGATGGCCAGATGAAGGAGAGATCGGTGTGTGTCTCAGAAGTGAATCCATATAGTGGTAGGCACACTTACAATAGTTCCTTATGTCTGTCTCGTTGGCAGGTCTGGCAGTCGGGTTGGGACTAGGTGCCATTGCAGAGGTGGCGAAGCAGTCTATGGGAGCCAAGCGTGCAGGTAGGTTCCTCCATGCATCTCTGAAACAGACCCTGAGATGAAGAAGCTGCATGATAGGTGGCACGATAGACGGTCACCTGATTTTATTGTCTGCCAGGCTGGCATTGTGTTGAATCTAGACTAATTGAAGTTCCTCTCAATATGGCTTGGTTCACCATTGTATGTTATGATATACAGTATTTCTCATGTAAGAGTGTAGTTACTCCGGCCTTGCTCATGAATTCAGACCTTAGTTTGTTTCACTCTGTTTGCTTCTCTCCTTCATTCTGATTCCGTAATAAACTCATCCATGTCTCTCTCAGAGGGTGCCCTGTTGGACTCCCCTCTCCTGTCCGAGGCCAATGCTGAGAGGATAGTGGACACCTTGTGCAAAGTCAGAGGGGCAGCCCTCAAAATAGGACAGATGCTCAGTATACAAGGTATAATGATCTACCCTCCCCTCTGTCACCCACCACATTTATCTTTGATGAATTCAATTGGAATACTTGTTGTATGGTTATGCTGCATCTATAAAGGTATTCTAGATGCTACATTATATCCTATGGAAAGTATTACCAATTGAACACATTATGTATACTAGGTAAATTTAACAGGTGTTGTGTTCTTCTCTGTAGATAACTCCTTCATAAACCCCCAGCTACAGAAGATCTTTGAGCGGGTCCGACAGAGCGCAGACTTCATGCCCGCCTGGCAGATGAATGTGAGTCATGCATACACTGAAATGTCTTCTTGAACGTCAGATATTGTATAGTACAGATAGACATACTGTAATATTTGACGTTCCACTACAATGACTGTTAGTAAGTTATTTTGGAATTGAATTGGACTTTTAGACTGATTTCAGCTCTGCTGTGTGACTGCAGAAAGTTCTGGAGGAGGAGCTAGGTGCGGGCTGGAGGGAGAAGCTGTCATCGTTTGAGGACAAGCCCTTCGCCGCTGCCTCCATTGGCCAGGTGCATCACGGGATGCTGCAGGACGGGAGGGAGGTCGCCATGAAGATCCAGGTTAGGGATTCCATACATATCCTTTGACATCCAAAGAGAACCAGGCTTCAATGCCAGGTTCAATAGTATGTAATGGTAGCAATAGTAATGTTATCAGTCACTGACCCATGAATAGAGGAGGTTCTATTTGTCATTATAAAATGTAGATTATTACTCTTTGGCTGAAAAAAACGATCTACCTAACATCCCAACCCCTAGTTAATGGTTGGGTGCCTTTTTTTAACACTAACTTGTAAAAAAGGTTATTGTTCTGGTAAATATATTATCGCTGTGTTTAGTCATGGGAGCTCTAAGATTAGATTATTGATATTCTCAGACAGTCTTTGATATTTTCTCATGTAATTCTGGATGTCTGTTCTCTCTCTCCATTGCAGTACCCAGGAGTAGCTGAGAGCATCCACAGTGACATCAACAACCTGATGTCTGTGCTGAAGATGAGTGTTGTTCTACCAGAGGGTAAGGGTTAAGAAATCCAAACGTATTATAATGACGATGATGCTAATAATTTATTAAATTTATATAGCGCTTTTCAATACAAAAATAATCTCAAAACTCTTAAATAATAATTGGTTCTCTGCATTGAATGCTTTGTAGTGAGAAAGATATCCAAGTACTTGGGAAAATGGCCAACTTATATTGACATTTATTTTCTCGCAGGCTTGTTTGCAGACAGTAGTCTAGAGGTCCTTCAAAGAGAGCTGGCGTGGGAGTGCGACTACAAGAGGGAGGCGGAGAGTGCCAAGCATTTTAAGTAGGCCCTACACCCCTATGTCTGTCATAAAGCATGAAGTGTCTTCAGATGGACTGATCATGAACTTGAATAGCCGCTAGTAGTCCTCTTAGTGTATCCAAATGTTACTAAACAGTGAGTATAAATTAAATACCACTTTCCACAGTATTTATTGGACGCTGGCCCTCATTTATGTGATTTCTATCTTTATTTAGTTCAGTTCCTATCAGGATGATACGCTCTCTAATGCACTGTAAATCAGATGGTAGTACAATTTGTGGGCCTGTTGTGTATTGATGCGTAGCAATGTACCAGCTCAGTCCTGTTTAGCAGATTAATGATTTCTGTCTGCCTCAGGTCACTTTTGGCGGATGACCCATTTTTCCACGTGCCATTTGTGGTGGACGAGCTCTCAGGAAGGAGGGTTCTGGCCATGGAGCTGGTGTCAGGGGTACCGCTGGACAGCTGTGTGGATCTGGATCAGGAGACAAGGAATCAGGTTAGAGCTGACCTCTGACCTCCACCCAGGAGAATAAACATTGGGTGAATGGCCTTTTTCCTGGTAGCGCTGTGGGGTGAGGTTGTGGCCACATCATTGCCTACCCTTAGTCTAACTCAGTGACTGGTTGACTGACTGGATACCTTTTTTGTAGCTATGACTAGCCTTAACCCAGCATTTCCCAAACTCGGTCCTCCGTACCCTAAGGGGTGCACGTTTTGGTTTTTGCCCTAACACTACAGAGCTGATTCAAATGATCAAAGCTTGTTGATTATTTGAATTAGCTGTGTAGTGCTAGGGCAAAAACCAAAACGTGCGCCCCTTGGGGTCCCGAGGACCGAGTTTGGGAAACCCTGTCTTAACCGTTAGATAGGTTGTTAATCTATGACTCTGCAGACCACCTGTATAGTATAGTGTGCTCTTCTCAGTTGTCATTGATATGAAGAAATTAGGTGTTTACCCCAAATCCTGAAGCAATGAATCACATATGCTATTGTCTCTACACCCAGTAGTAGAGGAATCATTCATATTTATTAGATGGCTCAAGTGATTGTAGAATCTGATGGTAGAATCTGGTTTTTAAATGACTCCAGGGTTCTTACTTTGTTAGCAGACAACTGTTCACTCATGATTCAGCACCTGCGGCATTGGGATGAAATTAAAACTGAGAGCATTATTAAAGCTTAAAAGGACGCTCAAACCAAGTTTCTGATGCAACACTACACACATGGCTCTTTTGACCAGCAGAGGGCAGTAACCCGAGTTCAGTGGTGACATTGATACCTCTCACTATGTAGGGCTGCGTCTCAAATGTCACCCTATTCCCTATTTGGTGCAATAGGGTGCCATTTGGGATGCTACCTAGGAGTGGTAAACTGACCCCTGTGGTCCGTCATTTCTTCTCCCCACAGATCTGCTTCAACATCCTACAGCTGTGTCTGAGAGAGCTCTTTGAGTTCCGCTTCATGCAGACGGACCCCAACTGGGCCAACTTCTTTTACAACGCTGAGCAGAACAAGGTGAGAGGGCGAGTGAGCCTGTGACAAGATGCTGGGGTTGTCCCATATGGCACCCTATTCCCTATATAGTGCACTACTTTTGACCACTGATTATGTAGGGAATAGGGTGCCATTTGGGACTCATCATTTACATTTACATTTTGTCATTTAGCAGACGCTCTTATCCAGAGCGACTTACAGTTAGTGAGTGCATACATTTTCATACTGGCTCCCCATGGGAAACGAACCCACAACCCTTGCGTTGCAAGCACCATGCTCTACCAACTGAGCTACAGGGGACTCAAACCCCTGTCATTCATTAATAACATGACTCTGACCTTCAAGCATGTTGTTTTTGTATTAAATAGCTTTATAATGGATTTATAACTGAATAAATGTACAAAAGAAATGTCATAAGAACATACCACTTTATTCCCTGCATTTATGAACATGTATGATGGCGATTGTTGTTTTGGTGGGGATGTGACGTAGTTAAACCTCTGCCCACTTTGTGTCTCCAGATTATTCTGTTGGATTTTGGTGCATGCCGGGATTACCCTGAGGCCTTCACAGATGATTATGTACAGGTAAGTTAACCTGAGTCGTGTGCATTAAACACCAAACAGAAGAAAATGGACCGAAGCAGGGACGGACTACCTGGACAACGTTTTGCTACAGTGTGCACTAACAAATACCTGATGAATGACAGATCCCATTAATATTTTAGACCCAGGAGCACAGCATATCAAATGGCTTTGATTTTGTTCTCTGAAATCTTTTGATGAAGTACGTTGGTCTGTATGTGTTAAGGTGGTGCATGCAGCCTCCATCGGAGATAGGGAGACAGTGCTGGAGAAATCCAAGGACCTCAAGTTCCTCACAGGGTTTGAGGCCAAGGTAAGAGGTTATTTTTGTGCAGTGAAAACCATGGTGTCATGAAGCACATAAATTTTTTTAATGTGTGGTTTATGACATCACCCTTCCCTCTCTCTCTGTTCACTTTCTCCTGTTTCTACTGGGATGGGGTTCTACACTTTTGAGTCACTAAAAAAACAGAGGGACATAACATAATATTATAAGCCTTCTAATAAGACATAATGAAGGTTCATACATGCTTATAACAAGTAATAAAGCGTTATACATGCAGAGTGTTACCGAGTTGTTGTGTTGAAAATGCCCTCTCTCCCCAGGCATTCCAGAATGCCCACGTGGAGGCGGTGATGATCCTGGGCGAGGCTTTCGCTAACTCTGAACCCTTTGACTTTGGCACCCAGAGCACCACGCAGCGGATCCAGAGCCTGATCCCCGTCATGCTGCGTCACCGCCTCACCCCGCCCCCCGAGGAGACCTACTCCCTGCACCGCAAGATGGCCGGCTCCTTCCTCATCTGTTCCAAGCTTGGCGCCAAAATCGCCTGCAAGGACATGTTCCTGGACATCTACAACTCCTACCAACAGCGGCGGCTGGAGAAGGAGCAGGCTGCCCAAGTTCAGGCCTAGATATGGTCAAAGGTCATTGCTAGTGGTCACCCTCTCAGACAGCACCCTAGTGGGCAGAACTGACTGTCTAACTGACTGTCCAACTCCCATGGCTGTGGACTATGTTTATTTAAGATAGTTTAACTGTACTACATGGGTGATCCAGACTCCCAGCACTTTGACTCTGTCAGTTACTGTAAGACCACTCAATGAGGTGGTCTGACAGTAAGGAGTGGGAGGCGGCATTTGTGTGTTTGAATCACTTGAGATTGGTGTTAATAATATTTGTTTGATGTAAAGGTATGAAGGACATATAACTGATTTGAGCTGTGTCTGTTGAGGGAAAAGGTAATATAATGTTTTGAGTGTTGGGTTGTGTTTTTGATGTGCCATGGTCCAATGGTTTCCATTGAACTGTCAATTTAATGCAGATTGATTATTATATGTGCTCACACATGTTAATGCCACAGAAACATCGCATTTGTTTCTGAAAATGGAAGTGTTTGTCCTAAAAGGCATTTTGACACTGAAAAGTTATTTGGACATTGTTGTACACACTACAAAGATTACTCTTTTAGATATTGTTGCAATCTTATTTCACTGCCTTGTTTTGTTGCATTATTAAGCCGTCTTGTGAATGTATTTCCATGGCATGTCAGAAGAGCAGTGTTATATGTATTTTAAAGGACTGTTTGATGGAAACACTAGAAGATGTCCTTGAAAACAGTGTGATAAAATAACCCTGCTAGATGACACCAACTGTAAAAAAGCCATTATGTTTAGTCATCTCTGGCCCATCTACCTTGTCCTTGTACCAGACATACCTCTGATTGTCAAGGTAGAATATTGACTAACTAGGCTATTACTGTCTGAACCTGAAGCTATCAATAATGTTCTACCACAGTTGAGTTTGCACCTGAACCCTATTCAACCCTAGTACAGTATGATAAGACATCAGTGTATTTGTTTAGAAAACATTAAGTATTGTCTTTGAGAATAGGAGTGCTGTGCTGCAGTCCTGTAGTCACAAGCTTTAAGGTACGCATGTAGGGCCAAACGAGTACGAGTGTTAGTATTAACTGCCACTTCTCAAGACATTTATCAAATAAGATGTAATGACTACATACTCTGGGAAAGGAAAGGCTCAGGGATGTTTTAGTTTTGGGTAATGGAAAGTTGGATTGCAACGGTGCTAATAATGACCAGATGGTTTTAGTTTATATTGGCATGAACATTTTGGCCTTTAATCACACATTTTATTAGGCACCACATTTCACTGTGTCTTGCTAAATGCTGATGATGTCTACTGAAACCACAGTCATTTGGGGAAAAATGAAACATTTCTTATAGAAGCTAAATCTGGATACTTTTTAGGATGTTCAGAGTCAGAACTTATCTCTGAAGCTTTTTAGCCCACACATCAGCCATTCAGTAGATTCTCATCCACAATCTTGAAGGCAGGACAGCATGGCATCTTCTGCCTGACAAGAACAGATGTGTCAATTTAAAGCCCATTTATTTTTGTCTTCAATACGAATTTAGGTTTACTATAATCCAATTTGAAAGAAAAGAGCTGTCGCTTAAGTGGCAATAGTGTAGTCACTTTTTGGAATTATACAACCACACGGTGGCGCTGTAGAGTGTCTGAAACATGGATCCGTGGTGTTTTTGTAAAACATCAATGGGTAGAGTACATTTGCATGTCCGGGCGTCCGTGCAAATAGGCTCGCTCAGAAGGCAGGGCCAGCGAGTGGAGTTGGGAGAGGAACCCAATCTGTGCGACAGTAACTGCACAGTCAACTAAAGCATAAAGATTACAAAAAATTTATCGAAATCGTTATTTACTGCTCGTCTTGTTTTTTTGTTGTATTTTATTATAACCGGATTGACTCGTACAAGTATTTGCATCAAGAAGATCACTTGCCCGCATCGCATCATCGCTCCATCCAATGTTCATGAAGACATTCTGAAATTACATGTTCTTTCATATTTCGTTGGGATTGGATTACACAAAAGGCGGCACGGACTCACACAATTATTCAGTCTTCTCATTGGTGAGTTCACTCTATATTCCCTATACCCCATACCGTTATTTATGGGGACTTGATGTTTTGTTGATTTTTTATGGTTAATAATGGATTATTCTCCGCGCGTGGATGTCTCGGAAGTCTTCCTCGTTTTCAAATCCAAGAAATGGGATCACTTAGTAGGAACAACATACGAAACAATTCAGAGCTATTAAAAAATAACTGCAGCCAATATTTTGAAATAGGCTATTTATATGCATGTAATATGCTAATTGCAGTGTCTGCAGTAGCCTATGGTTCAATCAAGACCACCCTTACAAGCCCCTCTGCATTGTCGAGTCAGATGTATACCATTGTATTCTGCTTGTGGTGTGGAAACATGATCTGGGTTTTATTGAAAAGTAAAGTATGAAATATCTGTGTCCGGTGTAATAAAGCCATATACACATATTCTATCGTGTTCTGTGCGGCAGTAGTTTTTGCCTATCCATCTCTACAGTAAAACATTTCAAAAACGCGCCCTGCATTTTTATACGACGCATGCCTGCAATGAACCACCTTGTACTCTCATGTAGGTTACTTGTCCGCATCCTTCGATATGGCGAAGGGAACAGTCAACTGGAATAGTATAGGTGCAGCTGAAAGGAAGTGTAGTTTGGCTATATCCTAATTGTAATGGAAGGCTATAAAGCACATCAGTTCTGTGGACCTTCCTTCCTGCCATGTGGGAATGGGTGAAGAAAGACTTCAGGCCAGGGCCGGTATGGAGGGATCAACACTAACATTATACAGAATATATGACTGGTTTCACTGAATTGTAAACCCAACACTATGGTAATACTATGACACAATGACTTGCGGGTTCTGATACTCTGGTAGGATGGCTGAGATATGGGTCCAGACCAGCGTCCAGAAATTGACCCCAGATGTCCCCCACACTATACACTCATCCTCTTGTTAGAAACCAATGATGATTGAGGCTGGGGATGATGATGAGGATGCATCATACTGTAGCAGGCGCTCAAGTTTCTTGTCATCCCATCATGGCCATACTTATAGGCCCTGCCATTGGGGCCGTGTTGTCACCATTAGGCAAAATATCTGACTCAGCAGCCCATCTGAAAGGAATCAATGAATGTAATAAATTGACAGGTGGTGCTTATGTGCTGTATTGATCTGTTACTCCGCCCTGAGACAGAGAACAGGGGTAGATCTCAATTGCATAGTCCTCGCATCCTCTCTCCTCTCTACTCGTCTCCTTCTCAAAACCCATTGGATGAGAAAGCCAGAGTTCCTCCCCTCTCGAGGAGTATGCAATTGAGATCTTCCCAAGGACTATTTGAGGCCAAAGTGTTGACAACTCAAGACAAGTTTTACATCAAAGCCACCCACCCGTGAAATACCCCCACCATCCAATGTGCAAAGCAACACTAGGAATGATCTCTTGAGTACCCTATGTATTTGTAATTTTAAATAAAAAGCTGTTTAAATGCTTCAGTTGACATAAAGGTATGCATATAATGTATCGATAAACAACAGTGCATTAAAACATTCTTTACATGTGTCTTGATTGCATACCTTACATTCTTGAGCACAGCGAGTCATGTTATTTCGGGGGGTCTGTCAGTCTGTTGGCCTCTGAGTGTTATGGTTTCCCCTTCTTGGTGTCACATGCCGAGCATTAACATGGGGATAGTGTGGCTCAGCCCAGGACCCAGGACCACCTGCCTGGGTAGCTAGACAGCTGCATGGGCAGGACTCTCCAGGGCTGGGCTGGGTCTGACCTGGGTGCAGCACAGTAATACAATGACTTTAAACTTAGGCCTGTTGTCTTGGCTGGTATCCAGTAGGAAATGGTTGAGGATTTGGGTGAGGAGCATGTACAGTTAAAAGAGCAACTGATTGCCTTGCAACCTCTCATCTCCCCAAACTGTTTCTCCTTCCTTTTAGTTAGATTGCAGCGTTTAAAGTTGGCACCCTTTTGTTAGCCAGACGGACACACGGAGGGACAGACCAGCTGGTCCCACAATGGGAGGGGGTCAAAGGTCATCCAATCAGCGGCGAGCTGAGCGGCAGCCGGCAGAGGAGGGCGTTGCTCCCTTTGTGATAATCAGGGTGTGACTGCTATACAACGGGCTGAACTTCCACCCCACTCTGACCGGCAGTGTTTCTTCCAGTCGAGAACATGGGAGGTGGCTTTTTTGTCAGCCCAGTGATATATAGGTTACTAAAGGAAGTGACTTTGGGATGTGCTATTTTTGTTAGCCTCTTGACAATTCTCATGTTTGCACTCTGAGTCTGTGTGAAAGGGACTACGCTCCACTAGCATTAATTATAGCAGTCTATTTTAGATGGCTGAATTAATCACAGAAGAAAGAGGGAGAGAGAGGGAGAGAGAGTGAGAGAGAGATGGGAATTAGCCAACAGGGACAAAAAAGCTATTTTTCTCCTGTTCTCTCTCAGCCCAACAGAAAAATCCTCAGGTCATTGGAAATGATTACATCAACGTGTGCATAGCTTTGAGCCAGAAGATTCTCTTGTCTTCCTCAATTTGTATTTCTGTCAGCTGCTGTTGCCCACAATTCTGTACACAGACATTCGTACATCAGGACTTTCTGATCTTCTCTGTGCCTATATGCTAAGTGATTGGGTTTATACCTGGTTAATTGCATTCAGCCTATTGTCATTTTCATTAGAGCACTCAATGGCTGTGTATTTCCAACAGGCATATAAGAAATGTATGAGTATGTGTTTGTGTGTGTTTGTGTGTGAATGAGCGAAGGAAATGGTGCGTGAGAGCAATCATGCATGTGTGTTTGCGTCTGCCGATTTCCCCTGGTAATCAGTGATTCCTCTGCTTCAGTGGGGCATTTTGGCTGCAGATAACAAGAAAGTGAATCTCTGTTTCTTAGCAGGTCCAAGTTGGATGTGGTCAGTGTGTTTATGAATGCCATGCCATCGGTGTGACAAACAAGTGCAATCACCAAGAGATGA